CAACTTGTAAACATGTTTTGTATACCAAATATGAGTTTTTAGAAGGATTAGATGCGAACTAGGAATGAAAATAAAGAAGTGGGAAAGTTAGTAGCTCATTTTTGCCATTTTGAACTTATTTCGCTCCTATAACCTTGAATTAGCATGAAATCAATGAATTTTAAGAATTTTCAACTTGTAAAAATGTTTTTTATACCAATTATGAGTTGTTAGAAGGATTAGATGCGAACTAGGAATGAAAATAAACAAGTTGGGAAAGTTAGTTGCTCATTTTTGCCATTTTGAACTTATTTCGCTCCTATAACCTTGAATTAGCATGAAATCAATGACTTTTAAGCATTTTCAACTTGTAAACATGTTACTAATGACTAACTATTTGCGTGTCTTGTGGTGGTAGGTGTCTACATAAAATGGGTGGTGATGAATATCTTCACAACGAAGAGGATATGGATGATGAAGACATTGGTAGTTCTCAATCTGGTGCCGAGTTGTATGATGTCAACAAGGAGCAAGATTTGGGTGAACCAGAAGACCAAGTTCATGATGACTTGCAGCGTAGGCTTGATGCTTATGAGATACAAGCTGAATGTGCCCCCCTATTAGGGATGATATTGTCTCCGAGTTTGTGCGAGATTCACAAGGACAAATGCAACGTCAAGTGAAAACCAATGGTGGTGGAAAGGCACCGGGGAAGAGAAAGGTAAGGGGTGCAACAAAAGCTTTTAAGAAACCCGGGGAACCCATGATTCTTGAGTTTGACGAGTTGGGTCAACCTACTAGGCAATGGCGTAGCAAATATTCCACACACATTGGGATATTGACTCGTAAAATACCGATCACACTTGACTGGGCAGAGATACCTAAAGGGTTGCTTCAAATGTTTTGGGATGATACAATGGTAAGTGTTTTGCATTTCAGTTTTTCTCAAAAAACTTCGTACCAAAATCATTGTGCATTCACCGAAATCAAACCAAACTTCGTAACATTGCTTGTGCAACCTGCCTACTTGACTGTGCAACAGGCTAGGGATGTGTGCAGCCTGCCTACTTGACTGTGCAGTAGGCCAGGGCTGTGTCCAGCCTGCTAGGGCTTCTGTGCAGCTGCCTAGGCTGGCTGTGCAGCCTGCCAGGGCTACTGTGCAGCTTGCCTAGGATGGTTGTGCAGCCTGCCAGGGGGGCTGTGCAGCTTGCCTAGGCTGGCTGTGCAGCTGCCTAGGGTGGCTGTGTAGCCTGCCAAGGCTGCTGTGCAGCCTGCCTGGGATGTTGTGCAGCTGCCTAGGGTGACTGTGCAGGATCTTTTATTTTATTTTTTTTACTTTATTTTGCCCTAGACTAACATGTACGTTTGCCATTCTTACAGAGTGTGTTTAATATTCCTGATGAGCCAGACAAGAGAAGATTGTTTGAAGGTTTTGTACAAGAGAGATTCAAAAACTTCAAACGTTCGTTGAGAACAAGATGGATCCATAAGAAACAAAGGCATAAACCGAAGAAAACTGTGATGGGTAATGCAGGAGATGAGGAACCTAAGAAGAAACCATGGGATGTATACCCACAAACAATGGTGAAGGACTAGGAGAAGTTTGTGGCGAAATCAACTACTACTACTGCACTTGTATGTATTTTAATATAAATTAGAGTTGTTTCCTCAATTTTGCTCACTACATATTATGATGCGAACATTTGGTAATGTGTAGGAAAAAATTCAACAAGCTACGAGCAATGTTGAGAAGAAAATGTATAACCATCATATGAGTTGTAAGACATTTGCGGAAAGTAGACCAAAGTGGATCAAAGAGGGTCTATACCCCGCATCCAAAATACCATCATCTGATAAACCGCTTCCCTCCACGGTCACAAGTTTGGTAAGTCGTGCAAATGATTGGTGGTGTGCTATGCATGGGATCGACAAGAATACCGGAAAGTACATCATGCACCCGGATAAAAGGCCAGTAGCAGATGCACTTGTAAGCACCCTTTGACATTTATGGTAATATTTCATAGTTATTATTAAATATTTCCATAGAAACTACATCTAACTTAGAACTGGAAACTTTTTGTGTTGTTGCAGCTCGAGCATACGTCGGAAGTGGTTGAAGGCAAGCTCACTCCAAGCATAGAGAACAATCCTTTTACCTTAGCTTTGGGAAAACCATACCACCCTGGGCGAGTCATTGGTGCGGGAGGGAAATAACTAGGGTGGGAAAAGGTTATGGGTTCAGAATACACTAGATCAGGAAGAACTAGATCAAGTGTTAATTCGCCCCACCATATGAATGCTAAGGAAAAGGAATCAATTAAGGCGGAGATATGCAAAGAGGTGCAAGAACAATTGCAAAGTCAATTCAATGCCATTTTGAAGCACATGAACTTGCCAACCTTGTCTTTGCCCATGATAACCCCAGTGGACTCATGTAGTCACCCAGAAGATGCCGGGGACGATCCACTTGTTGAGAGCGAGGTAATTGAATTACAGTTGAGAACATGAACTTCATATCATTAAACGAGGCCTTATGTAGCATAATTATTTTACTGATGCAGATTCCTACTCCTACGCATGCAGACTCAAGGGGGATTGCAAACCAGACACCTGATCCTTTTCCAGATTTTCAGGTAAATTTCAAGTCTTAATGAAATGTAAACGTATTAGGCTTATGCTGGTTAATTAGTTCATAACTTGTCCTAATCAACTGTGTAGGAAGAGACGCCTTGTGAGCTTCTTCACCCCGGCAAACACGTGGATGGAGAGTTGGTGGGGTATGGTAGCGCACAACCATTTGACAAGGTCCATTTTAAGTCTAATACTAGTACCCACTATATCTCGGTCGGGATCAATTCCATAGTACCAGGGTTTGAGGACTTGCCACTACCGGTGCCTAGAGAGGAATATAACTTCATCACGCTGCTTGATGCGAAAGGTAGCTTTGTGCAATGGCCACGTGATCGGGTGTGGTTGATAGGAGGGGTATGTGTACACTACTTACCTTGTTTTTAAAACATGTCCCAAATAGCTTGTATATAACCATGTGCTTTTATGATACAAATGAAAATCAGTCATCTAAAAGGAAGAAGATGGAGAAGCCAAAATCTAAGAATGTCCAACCTACAAAGAACATGGAACAAGGACAAGGGTTGAAGAAGAGTTCAAGAGGTTCTGCCACGAGTTGTACTCCACTAGTAGAAGCCGGCATCCTGATTTCGCTCTCTAGAGCTTGTACTTTTATTCATAACAGTGTGAGTGAGTTGCCTAGGGGTAGATCTATTGAAGTGATTTTACCTAAGGTATTGTTCCACTATGATGAGGATGGGATCGCACCAATTGCAAAAGAGGATGTGAAGGAATTTCTATCCGGTGCCATGCTTAACATTTCCATCATTCAAGCTTTCATGAGGTAATGCAATGCCACTATTCTTAATCATTTTGTTGCATTTTCGACTGTAAACAATGCTTTTAATAATTATTCCCCACAATACTGTCATGAAGGGCACTACAGGAGCACCTTAGATGCTTAGGCGATTCCAAGGCTGCAGTTGGGTGGTTTTGCCCCGAGCAGACCTCGCTTACCAGATGCTTGTGCAACCCTCGTGATGTGGAAGATTACCTAGAACGGAGTATCAAGGAATCAACGCGTGCGGGAGATAAGTTCATATTAGCCCCATGTTTTGAGGAGTACGTCTACAAATGTCATAAATTCAGTTGTTATTTTTTAAATTTTTTTTGAAAATGCAGTTAATTGTGGCGTATATTTGTTGATGTTTTTTCAATATATGCAGTGCTCATTGGACCCTTTTGGTGATTTGTATTTCCAAATACACAATCTACCACTTTGATTCACTTCGTCAGAATCCTCCACGTAGGTTGCTAGTGAATAATATATTGAATAGGTACATATTGCTTCCTATTGTTGATTGACCTCACCTAAACCATTGAGTATTTATGTTTCTAACTTTGAACTTACTTTCCTTAAGTGTTATGAAGAAGCTACATTGTCGTTCTGCTGCGGGTCCTACGTGGGAATATGGAAAAATTAATGCCTTGAGTTAGTGATTTGCTTAATATACTTGGCTTCGGTTATGGCTATGCATGATTTGATATCCTTAGTGGCATGTCAGTGTGCGCAACAAGACAACGGGCTTGACTGTGCCCTATACGTTATGAGGTTTATGCTTGACATAGTCAGTAGTTGCAAGGACGCACAACAACTAGATGAGGTATGCTTTTACTATCTTCGACCTATTAATTGTTTTCATTATTGCACTGAACAAAACACAAGCATAACTTGCACCGAACAAAACACAAGCATAACACGCAATATGAAAAGGCCCGCTGTGCAGCAGCCAAGGCAGGCTGCCCAGGCCACTGCAGCAGCCCACCCAGGCAGCAACCCAGCCAGGCAGGCACCCAGCCAGGCAGCCAGGCCAGCTAGGCAGCTGCCCAGCAGCCTGTACATGCACGTGATGCATGTCATTTTTGTGCATTTTGGTGATTTTCGGTGAATTTCTGTGATATTGGTGCATTTCGGTGTTGTGATACTCATGACAATGTTTGGTTTTTTTTTTCTCTAAAGTTTTGCAAGGTTCAAAGGGAAGGCCCGTTAACAAGGAATGAAATCAATGAAGTTCGCGACATGTGGGCTTTTTTATTCACATTTGATGGCATGTAGAATTGTCGTAATGGTTATATTGGTTTATTAGCTTGACTTTATTAATTAATTATTATTGTCAACATTATTTTAATTAAGTACGTATTAGTATGTACGTAGTATTTCTAAGTGTAATCTTAATATATTTTGCTGTAATTATATATTGTTGTTCATTAAATATATTAATGATGTTACTTTTTATATATATAATTATTTCGTTTTATATATATTATTGTATTATTTTATAACTAATATTAATATTATTATTAATTAATAATATTAATTTTATTATTAATTAATAATAATAAATTTATATCGATTAATAATATTATTTTATTATTAGTTAATAATCCTGAAATTATTGTTTGAGGGTAGGTGTCCAATATATATGAGGATACCTACCCTCAACCAATTCCCCTGCAACCTTACAATTACTTGCATTATCTGTGATTATTTGAACAACATTTTGATCTCCAATTTCATCAATCACCTCACTTAATAAGGTAGCAATGAAATCTTTGTCCTTAATCTCACCCGAGCAATCAATAGCTTTCATAAACATAGGCCCCTTTTTGGAAGCAATCATAATGTTAATCAAAGGCCTTCTTTGTGGATCACTCCACCCATCACTAACAATGCTAACACCTTTTGTTTTCCATGTCTCTTTAATAAGTTGTAATAACCTATCCACGTTTTCTTTCTCTTTACAAAGCAAAGTTGTTCTAAGTTTGTTATATCCAGGAGGCTTATAACCAGAGTGATTAGAATTGGCAGCAATTGTATATGAACTAACATAGTAAGGGTTTCTAGTAAGATTAAAAGGCAACCCCCCTGTGTAAAACATCCTAGAAATCTCAGAATCAAACTGGTCACGAGATTTCATATTAAAAGCATCAGAAATTGTATTGTTTGATTTCCTCTTCTTTACATTATCAGATGAACCTAGTCTCACTGATGTAGCTTCATTTGATGTGTGAGAAGATATGGGTTCATTTGAAAAAGGTGGAACTTTTGGTAACAAAGATTTTTTATAATCCTCGGAATTCACGATGAAGCTTTCTTAGTTTAGCAAGGTCATCAATTTTTACTTTATTACAAACTTGAATCCCTTTCCCTTGTTCACCTAGCAAATGAGCTTTCACTCTAGTGTATGAGCCATTTTTAACTTCGCCGCAAAAGTTACATTTCCAATTATAATTTCCTCCACCACCCGATATTTTATCACCCTTAACAACAAACTTCCACAAAGGGTAGGGGTCTTTCATAGATTCAGATGAATTACTACTACCACTAACATTACATGAAGCAGAGTAACTAGAAGACATTCCTGACAATTTCAGCAAGACAACAATACAATTTCAGTTCTTCATGCTCATATCAAATGCATTAAAGTTCAATTAAACAAGTCAAACAACTCAACAAGTCCAGCAACACAGGCTATACATGATACCATATACAGTATACAGTAAAAATCAAATTTCAGTTCTTCATTCCCAAATTACATTACAGTATACATGAAGAATCAATTATTTACACTTGTTCCCGATTCTAATCAAATTAAAGTTAAATTAATTGAATGTATACATGAAGGAGCAATTGAATTTCAGAAGGAGCAATTGGATTGTGCCGAGTATGTATGACCACATGTTTTACATTTTGCTCTTGTTTGGTCTTCATTTAGGAGGAAATAATGTCATACATCACTTTTACGGCTTTTGATATTTACCATCTCACTTTCGGTTAACCATTCCTCATGTGTGTTTGGGAATTGGGTGTTTGTAGAATCGTGGATTTGTTGGTTAGTAGTAGAACCAGAGACATTTAGGGTATCTTGTTGGCTACCTTGGCTAGAATAAAAATTTTGTGGGTCAAAGAAATTAGGTGGGAATTGACCGAATTGTGAATTGGTTTGGTGGTGGAAATCCGGGCATATTATTCATGTTATAGGGTTGAAAACCAAAAGTACCATCGTACCTAAATTGGTCAAAGCCTAAGAGGACGTTACCGGGGCCATTAGTTGGAATGGACGGACTCGGAATTTGGGAGCTCGTTGGATTAGGTGATTCCCTAGAACTATTACCACGGACAAGTCGGGCTTTCCCCCTAGATGATGGGTTGTTCGATGCCATAATTAACAATAATAATTTTAATAATAACTAATTAACAATAATAATGATTAATAACAACAAATTTAGCAATAATAATAACAATAATAATAATTAATAACAACAATTATAACAATAATAATAACAACAATAATAATTAATAACAATAATTATAACAATAATAATAACAACAATAATAAATTAAAGATTAGTTTAGATCTTACAACCGTGCTTCAACGCTTTCCACTAATTACGATTACGAACTTTTAATTTTTTCGATATTAAGAGATAATAATTAGAGAATTTAAGAGAATATAAGAGATTAAGGATTATTAGAGAATATAAGAGATTAAGAGAAGAGATTGTGAATTTGTGATTTGGGAAGTGAATGAAATTTGGTATTTATAGGGAATTTGGGAAAAATTAGCCGCTAATGGCCGTTAGAAACAAAGGGGGGCAACGGCATTATAGTCGTTTTAGAGTCGTTGGCACGCGGGCCGTGCCTAGCGGGCCAGCACGCGGGCTTGGCACCGTGCTCGTGTCGTGTCGTGCTGAAAAGGCAGAACCCTTGACCGTGGCACGGCACACGGCCGGCCACCGTGCCGGGCCACCACCTCCGGCCGTGTCGTGCCCCGCCGAAAATCGTGTCGTGCCGAACGGCCCGCAGGCCAGCCCGGCCCGTGCCCACCTTTACCCATCCCCCTACTACCCACTTACTGCAAACCCAAACCCAACATATATATACAATAAAAACAAAAATAATAAAATAAAAATTATCATTTTATATTTAATTTCTCTCTTTTAATTTCAACTTTCGTCTTCATCATTTTCTTTGTATTTTCTCTCTCATCAAAACCTTCATTCTAGTTGAAAATTACTAAAAAGTACTCCAAATGTCTAACATTCGAGAGGAAGTTCTTCAATCGCAACAACAATCTACAAAATTGTAAGTACTTAGTTCATTTTTGGAGCGAAAAAAAATGTATAAACCCTAATTTTTCTGTATTTTTTTTAAAAAACTTTTGGCGTCTATATGCTCTCAAAAAGTAATCTACTCTGATTATACTCATTATTGTTGCTCAAAAACAATTAAAATCTACTACCATTTGTACTATTTTTGTAGAATGGAGAAGAGTATTTCAGAGATCAAAAATAAAGTATTTGACAATACATAAGTGTTTATAATGTTCGAATATTGGATATCTGAAACTGAAGTATCAGTTGTTAATTTCAAATTACTTAGTTGAAAATTAAATTGTTACTCGGTAAATTTTTACTAGTAAATTTAATCTATCGTAAATGTTCATTTTAGAAGAACTTCATGTTCATTTATAGAATGATTAGATTACAAAATTGTTGGACATACAAAAGTTGAAAAAACATAGTTTAGTCCTAATTTCCTGGATAATTTGACATATTTCGTGGGATTATATTACTGTAAATTTATTTCGTAATGATTTTTTTTTTTGTCATTTATATGAATGTTCACGTTCAAATTTATGAATGTTCATTTTCATTTTGATAAATGTTTATTTATATATTAGTATATGGCCATTCATGTATTAATAAACACTCATTGTTATTCTAATAAATGTTTTTTTGCCATTTTCTTCATAAATTTCTATAGATCTAATAAGAGATTTCAATAAGAGTTTTTGATTTCTTATAGCTTATGGAAGTGATTTTTATAATAATATTTCAATTATGTTATAAGAACTTTCATTAATTATAATATCATTCAATTAAAACTAATATTCAGCGTATTTTTACTAGTAATTAAATTTAATATATTATAATTGTTCATTTTAGATGGACTTTATGTGAATTTGTAAAGGATTAATATTCAAATTTTAATAACTAAATTATAGACAAATTATCAATTTGATTTATAGAATTGAATCATTAATTGTTAATTAAAATTATTTATTTGTTAATAAAAACTGTTATTTGGCGGATTTTAGCTATTAAATTTAATCTACCGTAAATGTTCATTTTTGATGGAACAATGATCATTTTAGATGAAATTAATCTTCATTTGTGATCATATTCAAATGAATATAGTTCAATTAAATTTGATACATGTTCATTCTTCTTTTTACATAATATGTTCATTCTCATATTGAATGATGTTCATTTCCAATCTCATGTATAATATTCATTCTCATATCTTGTTTGTTATCATATTGGAAAACCTCGGTTAAATTTTAATATTTGTTCATGCATTCTCGTGTTGAAAGATATTCATTTAGATTTTAATACTTGGTAATACTCATATTGAATTATGTTCATTTCAACAATGTGTTCAAATTTGTGTTTATAAATGTTTACTTGATTATCTAGTTTTATTTATAGTGTGTTTTAATTGTAACTAACATTTTCTTTAAAAATTTTAATCTTTTACAGGATAATGAAATAAAAGTGAAAGACGATGATGTATATATTGAGAAAATAATATTTATCAAGGAAAGCATACAAATATCATAAGAGTAAAAGGGGTACAAGTGTACATCAAGGAGGATAATTTTATGTATCTTTTATTTATACCAAATGTATAAAATTAAAAGACAGTGTTCATTTTGTAAAACACATATATAATATGTACAATTTTGAAATTTTAGATCTATTTTTTTATATATAGTTTTTATTATTTTTTTTTTAAATTAAGCATATGTACATGTAAAAAGTAAAAAATGTTTCCTTTTATGCTTAAGAAACTATGACTATGTGATAGAATAAAACATATTCCTGAGCCTCAACCATCAACTTAAATTTTTGTTTGAGTTGGCCCTTTAACATGGTACCATAGTCAGCGTGACACAAAGGTCACGGGTTCGAATCTCAACCACCCCTCTTTTTAAAGTGGAATATTAAGCGTAGGGTATGAAGAGGGTCCATGCTGCATCCACACTTTAAGCCCAACGGGCTCTTGTGTGAAAGGGCGAGATAGAGTATAAAACATATTCCTATGCCTAAACCATAACGTATTTGAATTACTTTAATTCTATATTGAAATATTTTTTCAAATAAAGTCTATTAACTCAATAATAAGGCAAATTAATAAAAACTGTCTAAAAATAAATATAAAATAATTTGAATATAGCTAGTCATATTAATAAGATTGAACATTTAATAATAAAAAATGGTACATTTACCTATAAAAAATGAGCATAAAAAATATAGGATGACGTCGTTATGAAGGAAAAGAGGGTGCAGGTAGTATTGCCTACACAAGGGTGTAGGCTAAAGTTTGTAGAAATAAAAGCTTGCTTTCGAAGAAACTCCAATTCTTAGCCCAATGCGTCAAAAAAAAATCTCAACTGGTTCATAACTTGGAACTTGATCATAGATTGTGTTAAGATACATCCTTTCACTTTCAGTAGTTCTTGAAGCTTCTTCATCTTCATCCGATGACTTTTGAAAATAGTGCGAATATATGTAAAGGATAATTTCTTAAAGTATATCGAGCACCATATAGGATACCATTTTCAAAAGTTTGCACATCTATTTTATTTTTATAATTCACATTAAACTTTAACCAACTTAAAAAGAGGGTTGCACATTTATTTTTATAATTAACATTAAACTTTAACCAACTCAAAAAGAGGGTTGCACATCTATTTTATTTTTATATTCACATTTGATTTCTTTATTCCAATTAGTCTATTGTCGTAGAAAAAACTTAGATTTTCATGTAAAAAACCAAGTGATGGGTCAAGTATAACAGTATGTTATTCAAAGAATAATGAGAACCAAATAAGATTGAGAACTTTTTATATATTTACGACCTTTAGCATCACACTTGCAAAAAAATTTAAACGCGGATTATTCAAATTATCAAACTTATGAATCTTTGAGGTGTTTAATTTGAATTACATCATTATGTAATGTCATGTGAAGGCTAATTAGCAAAAATAACATGCCAAGTGCTTACAATTGCCACATACTAATTTCTTATACACTTGAATACACACAATATGATAATACACCAATATAATTACTACACATTCCATAACATACACACATGCTATGAGCTAACAGCAGCAGTTCATAGCAAGCGCAAAGTAAAACAAAATTATGCCAACAGTTGCTAAGGTAACCGAATTGTGTTCATTCCATCCGTACAAACTTATACTAGCATGAATGAAACCTTTACATAGGACAACATAGGAGCTTTCGAGTGACAAGGCAAGATAGCAAAGCGGGAAGGCCAAAGCTGTGAGACTTGTCATGTTCCAAATCGATAAGTGCCATCGCCCATGTAGTGACCATCCATGTAAAGGGCAGGATTGTGGGGATGAATGCCATCCATCACCATGAACTGCATGTCCTCAGATGGTTTCCAGTGTCGTTTCCTCTGGTTTATGAACCAGTTGTTGATCTGTTTTTGGTCTAATCCTGTGGCTTCAGCCAACGCCACCTTCTCCGATTCCTGTTTGATAACATTAACAGTGAATATTTTTTTTTTTAAAGACATTAACAGTGAATATAGCAACATATGTTTATATTGAAACGTCTAAATAAACAGAATTCCATAAATACATTAACAACAGCCAAATATCAACACATGTTTGGGGTTGAAGTTTCATTACCATCAACATTAGTAAAACATTTCCCTACAAAATTATATGAAATTTCATCATAGTTACCGACATTTATCATTTGCTAACAAATGGCCCGTCAAAGACACACAATTTTGTTTGTTGATTTTAAGATGACAAATACCACATATACCAAGATGATCATTCTCATATAACCGTTTAGCATAATTGGCTTATTTAGTACACGAAGTAGGGTAAACATCGTTTAGTCACACATACAAAAATATAAAATTTCGGAAATTTAAAGTTTCTTTCTTACAAGGGCTATAATGCAATATTACATGGTGTGTGATATTTTTCATGATTCTCTGAACAAATACTACTGAGTTAGTTGAGAAGGAAAATGGCAGGATAGTCTATTAGTCTTTGTATTTGTTAGTCAGTCGTCTTTCACCAACAAAATGTGGACATTTTTAACCAGATACCCAATGAGAATCCCTCGCAACTTTCGATAGATAGATAGACCGACTTGAAAGAAAATGCTAGAGCTCTAGTGATCTATGTTAATTCTACTAGTACAACTCTTGGTTGATATTTTCGGAAGGCTATCTATAGACAGAACTATCTATGACACATTTTCTTATTGCTTATGATTTGTACTTCGTAATAAAGAAGAGATTTACTATGTGTGGGCAGTGGCCTGGAACCTAGTTTGTAAAGGCGATAAAGATTGTGAACTCCGGAACAAGCTAAGGCTGTCATCGGCAAGTATGCCTTGCCTAGCAAATTAAATGCAAAGCTGACATTTTATAAGTGAAATGGGTCATTAAGGTCAATATCCAAAATAATGATTGGTGCGGTGTTACAAACCACTGAATGATGTTACTTCTTACAGGCTGTATACTAACAGCTGGAATAGAATTAAGTAGCATCAACGAATTGATGGAAGAGAAATAGGTAAGTTAATAATCAATAGCAAGATCATCAAACAACAATGCCATACTATGGACCCTCGTAATGAATGGAATGGAATAGGTATAATCTAGTAATCTACCCTATTTCGCTATCATACATAGTTCTCAAGTATGTTTGATAGACTTGAGACTAGAGAAGGGTTGTACTCTTAGCGTAATATGTAGACTGCCTGAGTTAGCCTGAGTAGGCACATATATCAACACGAAACTTTGACCAATAATATCTTAGATTATACAAACCATATGGAATAAACGACCTAAAAGAAATTAAGAAAACTTACAGAAGGATAAGGCCATTTGTAGTGCAATTCCCACCAACTTAGCAGCTTTTGACGGGCCTCTTTGGGGAGCTTCCCTTTCTTCTTTTTCTTAGAGAGCTCCTGCTTGAGACTACTCAAGTAGCCGCTGTATTTCTTCAGAAGATGATTTTTCAACTCTCTGTCTTCAGCACGAGGATCTATCTCTGGAAGTTCTGTTTCACCTCCGCTGTTTTCTTGATCCTCTTCCGATGAACCAACCCCTTCAGATTTATCATCTGCTCCATACATGCAAGTAAGATTGTAAGCAGTCGAAACAAGGTAACTAGCATTACCATATTCATGGATTATGTTTAGGAAAACCAGTATGTAAAAATTGACACAAATATTACGTGATACTGAGCACCATTTTACCGTATTCTCAAGGATTGTGTTTAGGAAAACCAGTATATAAAACAGCCACATATAGAATCGGTATGTAATATAGGTCTCATGCTTAATCAGCACACAAGTTTTTTGATTAATGATAATGTAACACAAAGTACAAAATAATTACCTTCTAAAGTTTCAAGAATGCCCAGAAACAACTAAATGAGTCCCAAAGTATATTATTATCAAGATTACCAATCAATCAATTAAAGCCTTAATTTCATAAGTAGGGTCGGCTACATGAACCACAAGTGATTATTCCGTATACTCATCCACAAAAATCTTCCTCCTTCATCCCTTACGATCAAATGTCTCATTCTCATACAAATCTATATACTTCATCTCCTTCTTAACGCTATTCAAATTTTACCAGCATGGATTATTTTTTACATACTATAAAAAATGTTTAATGTACTACTTTAGAATCAGCTATTCAAAAGTATATGTCAAGCCTATTTTTACATGCCTTAGACGCTTGCTAGACCCAAACACTCAATACACCACTTTTCCCAGAAATATGTTACCTTCATGACTAAATTACTTTTCTCATGTTTGCTCCAAAAAAACAATATACACAATGTTAACATCCAAACTTGTATCTTTTTTGCAAATGGATATCAACTTACCAATCCATGGTGTTATAATTTAGCAAACTTGAAAAATATTAACAAAATCAACAAACAAAATTATATATTTTATGTGGTTTACTCATGATAAGTTAACTACGTCTGTGGACAGAAGAAAGGGGTGATTCTGAAGGTAATAAAATTACAAAATAGGCCCAAACACAAGAAATCATAGCCCACATAACACTACTATAAAGTGTTGATTGGTTGACAACAACAACAACAAAAATAAAAAATAAAAAATATTAAAAATAAAAATAAAAACACATAGGAAGTTGAAATTCCTAGGATTTAAAAAAAAATTCCTATGGTGTTTGGTTGACAAATTTATGGAAAATAAAAATTCCTAAGAAGTTTGATTTATCACAAAATGTAGGAATTTAGTTATCTAGAAAGACCTATATAAATTAATTAATTAAACTCCCTAATGGCGTGTTTGGTTCCAAGCATTTCATTTGGGCCAAAAAACAAGTTTGGGTAATATAAAAATTTGAATTTGCATTTGGTTGAAACCCAGCCCTTAAAGAATTATACCCATTTTATCAAAATTTTAAATTCCATCCCAAACCCTATCATTTCAAATTCTTACTTTCTTAATAAAGAAATAAAATTAAAAATAAAAAACTGACTTTCTCTCTCCTAGGGATAGACTCAATTTCCCCTTTCTGATTTTTTCTCTCCTCGGCTTGGTTTCTCTCTCCTCCATTGAAGCATTTTGTGAGCTCTCTACTCCATTGAAGATTGATGTGTTTTTTCGTACTCAAATTCTCTATTAAAGCAACTAGTGAGCTTTAATTTATGTTCTCCGTGAAAGTGTACTCTCAATTCTTCATTAAGGCTGCGTTTGAGCTTTTCTCTGTCCTCCATTGAAGCGGCGTGTAAGGTCTCTCTCTCCTCCATTGAAACGGCGTGTGAGCTTTCTTTCTCCTCCACTGAACCGACTTGTGAGCTATCACTCCTCCATTGAAGGGGCTTTTGAGATTTCTCTTGGCCTCCATTGAATCATCTTAATTTCCAGATAATATCAATTAATTAAACAATTTGTTGGTCGAAATTATCAGTTAATTTTCAGTTTTTTCGATTAAATTTTTAATTACTGGGTATAAGTTCCTCCAATTTATAGTTAAATGTTGATTACTTGATTAGCTAATTTATTTTCATTTTTTTCTGCTTGTTTAGTTTAATTAATTATCTATCATGAGTATTAATTAAGTAAAATGTAATTTTTTTTCTTAATGAAAATTTTATTTGCTTAATTCAAAATATCAGCCATCTCCAAACAAAAGTTAGGATTTCAAATTCTAGAAATGAAATTCTAATGTTTCTCAAACACCTAACAATGGAATTTAATATCAAGATTTCAAATTCTGCAATTCCAACATTTGAAATGAATATCATGTTTCCAAACACAACCTAAGGGAATTATCATTCCCATAATTAATCAAAACTTTAGCATTTTCTAGGACATTCAATTACATGGAGATATAATATTGCAAGGAATTTGCAATTCCCACATTTAATCAAAACAAGCACTAATTTTGGAGAGAACACCTTGAACCCCAATCCACCCCTTGACCTCAACGACTTAACCGCTAACCAAGAATCGAGTTTTGAAAGGAAGTTAACCGTTCAAGGCATATCTTACCACCTGGTTATTGTTCTCATTCTATAAAATGAGTTAATCGTGTCAAACCTAAGCAATATCATATAAAAAGTAACCTTGTCATGGAAATTGACACGAAACTTTCTTTGCAAAACCAAGCACAAAATCGTTACAATTACTTTTATATACATACATAGGAGAGTTTTTTCCTGAGTTTTTAGAGAGTCATGTAAGATAAAATTTTCTTAACGCGTCATATAGGATTATAAATTTTAGTTATACCCAATTACATGAGAGATTTGTAATTTCTTTTAAAAATAAATAATTCAAATACCACATAAGCAAAACTGGTGCATGAGATTTTAAAGTTTAATTTAATTAAATATAAAAGAGTATCTTTTAAGTTTATGAATTTTATCAAAATATAAGCTCACAATTTATTTTAAAATAAGAATATCAAATGAAATAGTACATACAACGAATAAAATAACAAATTTAATCACATACATTAAAAAAAAAAATTGTTTTAAAAAATACAAATAAACCGTACATCGCATGGGCTTCATCTAGTTACTATGAATTTGATGTACTTCTCTTGTGGCCTTTTCTTGTTCATCTATACACTCTATAATGTCCTGAGTATATAATCTTATAATCATCAACATCATTTCAAATAAATTACCGCAACTCAGTAATTTAGGATGTTAACAATTTCTTCTTTTTGTTTTTTTTTTTTCTTTTTTCTTTTAATGTCCAATCTAACAACCAGTAGTATGCTTAAAAAACATTAAATGCTGAAAAACCTAAAATGCTTTTAACCAACTCATCTAGTAGACTATTACTAATAAAATCTTCTGTAAAATTTATTTGGGAAATTGAATTTTACCAAGAATAACACATACTAAATCAAAAAAATAAAAGTTGTCCTACAAAATTAAGAGCAAAGTGGTATAAAACTCTCAGTTCAAAGGCCCATATGTCAGAGGAAAACATGCATTTGCCCAATTCGCCGGACAGGAAATGACACCACTCAGTAACTTCATCTCAGAATTGACCAATTAATTCCAAAACTTTCAAACATTAAAACAAACCAAATTAAAATAAAATACAGAGTTGAATAATAAAATAAAACGCAAAGAACTCGTCAATCAAATGTCATGTCTGGTGATCTAAGCTTAGCTAGCTTGGCAGTAACTCTGCGGCTACAATTTCCTAGAACATGACCATCAGATGTGCAGGTTTGTTTAATGATAAGGATGAAGGATATTGTTAATTTGTAACCATAAACAACTTCCTTATATTGTTGTCAATGCTAACTATTGTAAATTCTCCCTATGATGCATGAAAACTCCGTTTGGAGTAAACGTTTCCGTTTTTAATTCCTAAATGCAGAAACTAAGACTTCTGCATGAAACCTAGAATTCTCTGAAGTTGGTATGGTATTCAACATTTGTATTAAATCTCATCTAGTATATCATAGTATTAGACATTTCAATTTCACTGTGCATAAAAAAAACTTCATATAGTTAGTGGAGGAATCCACTACACATAAGATGAGGCTAGAGTGTGAAAGAAAAAGACTAATACTATGTTTGGATAATAATAATAGTGACAGGAAAGGGAGGGGAAGGAAAAAGAGGGAAGGGAAAGGGAGATGAGAGGAGGGAGAAGGTGATTTTCTATTTTCCTTCCAAATCTCTCCAATAATTAAGAGATTTGGTTTATTAAAGGGAAAGGAGAATGAATCCTTCCTATTCCCTTCCCTTCCCTTCCCTCCTTGCATTGAATATCCAAATAATGAATGATGATTCCTCCTTTCCTCTTCTCTTCCTTTCCCTCCTTTTCTCTCTATTCAAACATAGTGTTGGTGAAGAAATCCACTTCACATAAGATCCGTAAGAGAATTTTCTATTTTTTGTGAACATCCTATAAAAGAATGCTAGATGATTAATTGTGAACAAAGAGTACTGATTAATTGTCCTAAACTTTACCCATTTTCTCTATTTCGTTAAATTTTAGTCATTTTTCGTTTTCATCCATTTTTCTATGTAAAATCTAAGTGCTCTCACATCGTTAGATAAGAGAGTTAAAAGTGGAAATAATAAGGTAATATAAACATTCATTACACTGATTGACGCGAGATTTTAACATGTATTCCAAATAAATATTATTTTAGGTTATATATTAATTAGTTATCTAACGCCCATAACGCTAGTTAGCAATTACATTTTTCTCAATTCTACTTTACTCCTTTTATGACTACCTTTTATTACAATTTCACATTGTGGGAACCAATTATATTAAATAAATCTCTTATTCTTTAAATCAAAGTAATCACATACATCTTCCCAATTTTACTTTTCCTTGATTTTTGTGCTTACAATAATTGAGTAGAACTAATAAATGAAGGGAATATAAAATATGAAATTTATTAATGAAATTTTCTATCCATCTTCAAATAATTTTTTTGATAGATTTAGTCATGCACATTGAGAAATTTGATAGATTTAGACCTTGCTTAGTTCTACTTATTTTTACTTTTTTCAGAAAAAATAAATTCAGACCATATCAAATCAGAAAAAATAAGTTCAGATGATATCATCGTTGTATGTACAATTTT